CAACAACAACAACAACAACAACAACAACAACAACAACAACAACAACAGCAGCAGCAGCCTTGGGTGGAAAGAAGGCAATTCTGCTTTCCTTCATGCAGATTTCATGCGTTCCATTTCTTCCTAGCCTTGCAGGGAAGAATCGGAGCCCGTGAGCCACAGGCCTTGACAACGAAATAGATTACGGCCCTCCCAGCAAAGCTGCTTTACCTTTGAGGTTTCTCCTTTGAAAATGTCAGGCCAAGTCACTCTCCCACAACACACACACACACACACACACAGACACAAACACCCATTTCTTTTCCCAGCAGAGAAAACCCTTCTAAGCTGGTTGGCATCGAGCCGACTTAGCGGAGAAAGTTACCATCCCATACCTGCGTGAAATGCGGGCAAGGAAGATATTCCAATCCGGCTGCGTGTGAATTCCATCAGGGTCCTTCCGTCTGCTTGGCTGCTGGGTGTGGTATTGTGAATGGGTTGCCAAGCAGATGGGTTGAGAAATACACAACCCATCTGTCTCCATCATGCTCATTTCCTCCTTTATTAAAATGTTAATGAATACAGTTTTTATTTATTGCGGGGTGACACATGCGGTATCACTCCCTGGTGGAAAAATGTTCCATCAGTTTTAACTATGTGGACACACAGAGAAAAGCTGCTTTCTTTCCACAGATTAAAAACCTCTCTCCTCTCAGGCTTGTGCCAAGGCGAGCTGAATTGAGAAGCTGCAGGATCTAAAAACTCTAGTTTTTTTTTTAAAAAAATGGTATTTTCAATCAATTTTCAATCAATTCGTGTGCATTCGGGAACTGAGCCCCATACAAGCCATGGTTAGGTAAAAGTAAAGGTTCCCTTCGCATAAACGTGCCAGTCGTTTCTGGCTCCAGGGGGGCTGGTGCTCATCTCTGTTACAAAGCCGAAGAGCTGTCCGAAGACGTCTCCGTGGTCATGGGGTCAGCATGACTAAATGCCGAAGGCGCACGGAACGCTGTTCCCTTCCCACCAAAGGGGTCCCTAATTTTCTACTTGCATTTTTTTTTACGTGCTTTCGAACTGCTAGGTTGGCAGAAGCTGAGACAAGTGACGGGAGCTCACTCCTTTACGTGGCGCTGGGGATTCGAACCACCGAACTGCCAACCTTTCTGATCGACAAGCTCAGCATCTTAGCCACTGAGCCACCACATCCCTCTTAGACATGGTTAAGGTGCTACTTAACAACATGTAAAGAATGCAATGTAAAGTAGGGCTTGATTTTTGGCAAAATCCTAGGCGTACACATACATTCACTGCATGCACATCCATGTGTACGCATTTGCACACAGAGTCTTAACCCACTTTTCCATCCTGTGCCCATCATCAAAGAAATCCTATCTTATGAATGAATAGAGTAACTGATGAGAAAGGGCTGTGGAAGAGGAATAAAAGAGATACTTTGGTGGGCTTGGAGTGGGATGTGAACGGGGGCTCCTCTGGAATATATTTTCTGGAAGATAAAGTAAATATTCTAGGGATGTAATGATGAAGGAGACGGTTTTAAGCAAATATTCTAGGAATGAGATGACGGAGATGTTTTTAAGCAAAGATGAAATAAAACTAATCAAGGAGAGAGGCAACCTGGAATTAAGGAGAAACTTCACAATTGTTCTAATTGTGAGGACAATTAACCCGTGGAACAGCTTGCCACCAGAATTGTGTTTTCATTTCACTCTTGTAAAATTCAGTTGTGCTTTCTAGCAGGAATCTGGAAGGCAGATAAAAACTGGAGTGTTTGTGTGAATATATGGTTTAGTGTGAGAGCATGCATGGCTTTGCTTTAGGCCCAAAGGAGTGTGGGGAAAGGGACAAATTATCCAGTTTGAAACCATCTTCCTGTTAATAACTTACTGCATCTCCATCCACCTCCATGTAAAGCAATTATAGAGACTACCTTATTTTGGCAAAAACAATTTTTGTTGGATGTCTTTAGAAGACGCTAATGGAAAAACAAAACCCACAATGTTGATCTTTATGAAAACTATCTCCATCTGCACAACAATTCAGGTATTTGAGGAAAACTCTTTAAGATTTAAGTGGTTGTGCTGTGCTTGTAACTTACATTAAAAAAAAAAAACCCCACTCCTATTATTAAGAGGTAATATGAGAAAACATCATTAAGAAGATTAAGGTTCTTCAACTTCGAAAAGAAGAGTTAAGGAAGGATTAGATGGGACATATAGCATGGAGTAATTGTAAAGTGGATTAAAAGGTACATTTTAATTGAATTTTAATCTGTTACTTTACATGAAGATGTTTTATTGCCGATGGAGGACATTTTTATGAACACTTCTTTAAGCAAAGAAGGGGAAACCGTTTTTTCAAACTATAAAACATATGTCTGTGTTGTTCGGTCAAGCCTGTTGCATTCAGTGTTGGACTATCCCCTATTACATTATTTTAAGCAGCAAAACAGCTGATCAATGGGTTAAAAGGGGTGGGTGGGTATTAATTGACTAAGTCCACTCCAAAGAGTGTTTACTTGTAAGCAAGATACATTGATTTGAATTGAGCCTGTATCTTCTCAGTCAATATATTCAGCATTGGGGTGTAACTGCTCTGTCTTTATGGTAATATAGCTAGGTCTAATAAGGCTAAATCACTTTGTCAAGAACCCTGGCCTAATGGGAGAATGGATTGAGTTGGGGGGGGGAGAACCTTTGATCTCTTGATAGCTTTAATTTAGAAGTCATTAATAGGGGAATTCCAGTTGGTCTTTGAATACTTGGACTTTCCTCCGAGATGTTTGAGGCTGAGGGAGAGGTCAATTGTGTCATATGTCATGAGTCCCTGTGTGTCCACAAGAGATCTAAGTTCAGCCTATCTTAAATGCCTCTCTTATCTCCCGCTCATTTCCTTTAACAGCCAGTTGGCCAGATTCTTGTAGAGAGCATTATTGCTTCTTGTAATAAACTGTTATACTCATTTGAACTGACCGAATCTCCTGATTTCCCCGGTGATTGACAGGTACCCTGTAATGTCTGGTAGGGTTAGGTCCATCTGTGGAAAATAACGGTGACAACCGTAGCAAGGGATGGAACTGGGGAACGGAGTTCTTCTTACCTATCGATTTTGCGGGAGTCTGGAAACTGACACTTGGACAGAAAAAGCCTACTTGATTAATCACATCCTGGGCCAGATTCGTGACTGATGGTCTCTTTTTCTCTCCACTAGATTCTCCCTGGAAAGTTCATCTGTCCAATATTGATCCTTCGTTGACCAGCATTACTGTGAGCGGGTTAACCCCAGCCCGTACCTACCAGTTTAGAGTCTGTGCTGTTAACCAAGTGGGCAAAGGGCAGTACAGCCTAGAAACCAGCAGGTACGCTGAGATGACATCTCTCGAATTCAAGTTGATTGAATTTTGTTGGGAATCAATGGTTTGTCCAGTGAAAAGCAGTCCACTGATGTTTGTAGAAATCTCAGCCAAAATGGTGTAGATTCAATCAACATATCTTGGTTTTCCTAGTCATTTGTTTCTCCAAGCACCAAAAACTATGGCTGGAAACTGTTATGATCTGAATGATGTGCCCATCTTTGCTACTTCAACATATATCCAAGAGAAACATGTGATGGGCGCTTGAAAGAGAGAAGGTGTAAATGCAGATTATGAAGTAAGAGAAAGGTAGCTACCTCTTTTGGCTATGTTTGGAGATTCCTCCCCAGTATTTCTTCTAATCTTCTGAAGATCCTTTTGAGAGATTAGGGGAAGATAAACTTCCTGCTCCAATGCTCTAAATTCTCTCTGAACCTGGGTGGATTTTCAGGGAAGTTGGCTCTTTGAGCCTTCAAGCGCCAACATGAGCTCAGAGTAAACAGAGAAATTACTTCAAATCTCTCTTAAATGACCTTAAATTTTATTTTATCATCTGCTTAACTGCTCCAGCACATTAGTTGTTCCTACTGTAATCACACTGGAGAAGCCAAAAAAAACACAGCTCCTCAACCACCTCTGATTAAAACTCTCTGGTGCTATTACTCAAAGCAGAAAGGAGCTTGGGATTTTGAACTGGAGAAGTGGTGTGAGCACCTCGCCTTGGGTGAGGTTGAGGGGACAGAACTGAATGAGCCAATTTGATCAGGGTTGCAAATTTGGGGCCAGCGTGTGACCTCATTCAAGCCTGCCATCTTGATCGGGGCAAGCTGCACAGTTGAGTTAGGTCAAGAAACTCTTTCTGGTATTGCCCTCCTAATGCCTGGTTTTTCTATTACATTGAGTTGTTACAATTATTTTGAGTATGTCTACAGCAAGTTAGGCCTGATGCTTTCTAATTTAGCCTCTGTGAAGCAAAACAAGAATTTCTTTTTTTTTAAATTATTTTTAAGTAAAGGCACGAGTAAAGATCTGTGGTTGTCGTTTTGCTTGACTTTTCTTCTGCTCAGATTGATGTTGCCAGAAGAACCTCCGAGCGCTGCGCCTAAAAACATCGTGGCTAGCGGACGGACAAATCAGTCCATCATGGTCCAGTGGCAACCACCTCCGGAAAGCGAACATAACGGTGTTCTCCATGGCTACATCATAAGGTAAAAGGCCCTTCAGTGACCTGGAGAGGCTGAAGCAATGGACTCCGCTTGCCTATCGCCCCAAACCTGTTTTGACAAGGGCTTGTGGGATACTTGCAGTGCGTTGATCCAAACCCAAAGAAACTACATTATGGTTTGGCATGGGATGGAAATCTCGTCTGACTATTTTAATAATGGAGCAATGTTTCCCTTCTCAAACTGAAAGAGCTTTGGTCTCCTCTGGCAAACAATAATGATTCTTTTTTGTCTTTAAAAAGGAGCAATAACCAGAATAGAATAGAATAGAATAGAATAGAATGGAATGGAATGGAATGGAATGGAATGGAATGGAATGGAATGGAATAGAATTCTTTATTGGCCAAGTGTGATTGGACACACAAGGAATTTCTCTTGGTGCAAATGCTCTCAGTGCACATAAAAGAAAAGATACATTTGTCAAGAATCATAAGGCACAGCACTTAATAATAGTCATAGGGAACAATGAACAATCAAATCCTACTAGGAAACAGCCCATATAAATCGTAAGGATACAAGCGACAAAGTTACAGTCATACAGTCACAAGTGGGAGGGGATGGGTGATAAGAAGTGATGAGAAGATTAATAGTGATAGTAGTGCAGACTTTGTAAATAGTTGGACAGTGTGGAGGGAATTACTTGTTTAGCAGAGTGATGGTGTTTGGGAAAAGCTGTCCTTGTGCCTAGTTGTTCTGGTGTGCAGTGCTCTATAGCGTCATTTTGAGGGTGGGAGTTGAAACAGTTTATGTCCAGGATGTGAGGGGTCTGTAGGTATTTTCACAGCCCTCTTTTTGACTCATGCATTATACAGGCCTGGTTACAACTCAGGTTTCTTGAGAGAAGCCCCAATATCCTTGTCTTCCAGGAGACTGGTTAGCCAGTTTTGCTTCCTTTCATTCTATAGACTCAAAATTTATCTCATGAACGGTCTAACTCAGGAAGGGCACATCGTTGGGTCAGCTGTGCCTATTCCTCAGCTGATCTTGGCTGATAGAGGGCAAGCCACCAACTTTCCTTGCATTTTTGGGTGCTTTCATCTCAGCAGGATAATGTCACCGTCCTGATCTTTTCTGCCAGAGGTGGTTCTCCCCTTGCTACTTTCTCTGCACTGGTCTTCCCTGAAGCAGGCCGCTAGCAATTGGACAGGTTCTCAGGACCAATTTAAAATAACTTGAACCACAAAGTGTTTTTTCCTGCTTGCCAAGCCTCTCTTGGGATGAGAAGCGAAACATCTTCAAAGAAAAAACAACAGAAAGTCCAGTTGTTTCTTGAAAAAGCACCTTTGGGACAACCATAACCTGGTTGACTGAGAATCTCCATAGATATCCATCACTGGAGGTTTTCATGGATAGATCGGAGAACCATTTATCCAGAATAATATAGGGTCTCCTGCTTGAGCAGTGGGTGGGTCTACAAGACCTCTAAGCTCCCTTCCAATCCTATTTTTTTATGTTCTGTGTTCTACTGTGTTGAAGAAACTCTTCATCTTATTCCTGCTTTGGGCGAAACAAAGATCACAACAAATTTACTTATTTGAATGCAGTGGAAGAACAATAAGAAGGCTAATCCTGTTAGTAGCCTGAACTGGCAACTTTTTAATCATTTATGGCGTCTTCAGAATTTTCCATCAACTTTTTCACTTCCAGGAAAGCCTTATTACTTCTGTGATTGTTAGCATTCTGCTTTCGGCATGCATCCTGGGGATAGCTTCATCACATCCACATTCTTCGTTTTAGGAGGCCAAGTCTACGGAATAAACAAGGAAAGTGATTTAAAGCTGCAACCTGATCGAATATAATATTTAAGAGTGGCAGAGAGGAGGAAGGAAGCAAATGGAAGTTGGACACTAAATCAACATTTTTATTAGACAGGCTTCTTTCTACAGCCTGTAAAACAGGATAAAACCACAAGTTTTGTTCTAGTCCTGGACATGTATTCATAATGAGATCAGAACATAGGCATTTTGGCAATCAGAGAAGAATCACTGCAATTCTGTCTTTGCGAGTTTTTAAATGTGTTGATAATAATCTTGCAGATAATTTGTTGATATCACTATTACAAATAGTTCTTGCTGTGCTGGCGGTAATGACGATGTTTGCAGAGTTAATCCTATTCCCAACAGAAATATGACTTTTTTTTTTCCCCCTCTTACCACCAAACAGTGTGCTGTCTAACAGAATAAAGCGAAGTTTCTAAAATAGCAGAAGAGTTGTCCAGTTAGAGAATCCCATTAAATTAAGAATGAATAAAAGTTGTTTCACCAACCTCTAAATGCCAGCTGAAGAACTGAAGGTGCCCTATCAACAACTTTTGATAGTTGTTGCCACATCAATCCTGGCTTGTTCATGTAATTAGGGCTTAAGAAAAGGAAGGGAAGAACCTTCCCAATGCCAGAGGGCATCTGCACTTTTAAGACTGGGTCTACATTCAAGACTTTTCCAAGAGTGACCTTTTTCTGGACCTCCACAAGTTTACATTGCGTGGACTTCAACTCCCAGAATTCCCCAGCCTCTGGGAGTTGAGGTCCATACATCCTAAATTCTTAGGATCTAGGGAATTGGGTCAATGTCTAAATGGACCGGACCTCTAGTTATTGATTTTTAGGCAAGTAATCTTAGAAGGGAGGTGTTACCACCACCCATTGAAATCGCTTAGGAGCCCAACCAATGGGTTTCCTTTCCTTTCCCTTCAACTGCCTGCAACCAAAAATTGTTTCTCTATATAGATATCGCCTAGCAGGACTTCCTGGGGAGTATCAATACAAGAATATAACCAGCGCGGAGATAAACTACTGCTTGATCAAAGACCTCATCATCTGGACCCAGTATGAAATCCAGGTGGCGTCTTATAACGGAGCTGGCCTGGGAGCCTTTAGCAGGGCAGTCACCGAATACACATTGCAAGGAGGTGAGTGGTTGTCTTCCAGATCTCATTTGTGGGGAGTTTTGAAATGGCCTCAATGATGAGTTTCTATGAGTATACTACAGTTTGCCTGTGGGGTGAGGTGTGAGTGTGGGAGGGTATTTCCTGGATATAAGAAATGATCATAGGTTTCTTTTGTGCAGGAGGAAATAAGAGTAAACACCTCCCAATCTAGGGGAAGTTACAAGTAGATTGGGCTAATTATGACTAATATAAGAAAGTGAGATTGAGAGAAGTTTTCTTCTTCAATGTCGAAGCGAGGTGTAAAGTTATGTGATCTTAAATACAGGAGATTTGTCAAGGGTGAAAATGTGTCATGAGGGGAAAGCATAAACAGTTGTCCAAAATGAAGGACAGGAGGGTTCAGGAGCTATCGATGGAAGCCCAAGCTGAGAAACGAATCAGAGATGAAATCTCTGAAGTAGAAATTATAAAGACAGGCCACTAAGAGTCTCAAAGGTGCTTTTTCCAAAAGCCAATTGGACCTTCTTGGTTTTTAATTTGAAATTTGAAAAAGAATGGAAGACGCTTCTCAGATGAGAAGTGAAACATTTTTCAAAGAAAACAAAATCAAAATCAAGTCCAGTTGCCTTTTGGGAAAAGCTCCTTCGGGACAGTTGTGACCTGGAGGATGGAGAATTTCCATGGAGAGACCACAAAGAGGTCCTTCAAGCCAGATGCAACTCCCTCTATCACCCAAGAGCAAGTCCTTGTTGATCTTGTCCCCATCAGTGACATCATCCTATCACTGGATGGGCTGGTCTGGATGGGAGCCTGAGATAGGACCTCTGAACCTTCAGATGTTGCCCGCTGCTCAAACCTTCATTAAGTCTTCACCATCCAGATGCTCTCTTGATTGTCTGCATATTCATAAGCAGCCTGGCACACTTAACCTTTGCTTCTCCCTTTTTCCCCATAGCCTTCCAGTTAATGGCTCTCATCCACATTACCCTTTGGACTTCCTAATGCCACATTTTAGCGTGGAGTGCAAGCAGTTGAATCTTAATATAGTCCCAGATTTGTGTACCTCGTGCGCAGAAGCGTAGTAGGAAGCCCTAGAGTGCTAGCTTTGCTTTGAGGAAGCAACACGTTCCTGAATGTTTTCAGAAGTTGCTGAGAAAGTTGTTCTGGACTGGTTTGGAATGGCCTACATGAGGGAAGAGGGACCTGCTTCCCTGGATGAGTTAGAGTGTGCCTCATGATTCCTCCGAGGTGGAGATGTGGAGGTCAGGTGAAGTTGTCTCATGGACCTGTTCCACATGCTCATCCATGGGGTCTTTAATGAAATGCTTCCTTACTTTCCACCCATTCCTCCAGGTCCTTCTTCTCATCAATCCCTGAAAAAAAATGGGGGATCCTCCCCTTTAGCTTTCATAACACTTCAGCAACAGCACAAAGGGACTGAAAGTTATAAGAGGTTACCTGAAGGATACACGGCTTTAATGCTATTTTGAGAATTATGAAGGCTTTATCAAATTAATGGGAGTTAATATCCCATACCTTTTTCTAAAAGACTTCCTGGGAATGACAGACCTCATTAGAGGTGGAATCATCAGGGGACTCCAGAAAATCTTGTAAAGATGAATCATACATGTTGTAACTCCAGGAATCAAATCATCTTGTGGAATTAAAGTGATTAATGGTTTCTGTTACAGTCCTCTTGTATAACCATAGCTCATCCCTCTTTTCGTAACACAAGGACTAAGTGAGGATGGTAATTCCAGGGAGAAATCTCGATCACTTGTGTGCACAGATGGTCTTAACATTTATTTATTTGTCAAATGTAGATAGCCTGCCGTCTCACAAACAAATGAATCTCGAATATCAGATTGCATAGATAGCTCCCACCACAGAAAGCAATGAAAGTATGTTTTTAAAAAGAACAACATACGTTCACTTGAATATCTTATTGAGGATTCATTCTCATGTTTCAGGTATGAGTGTCAAGTTTCCAGTGATGAAATCCATTTAAAAAGAAAAGAACAAAGTCCATCTTCCAAGACAATTTATTTTATTTAGGAAAGCATCAAATTGGCAAAGTCCGTGATAATTCTGGATCTGACAGAACCCAGAATTACTCCACAATATTTACAAGCTAGAAATAACCTCCCAAAGTCACATTCTCCAACAGAAGTAATTCAACGTTGCTTGATGTCATAAATCTCCACCCCAAGGGCCCTAAGCATGGACAGCTCGTTTTCCCACAGGAAGAAGAATCACCTAGCTTAAACAACTCTCTCTATCTCCACTCCTCCCCTGTTAGGAATGTGGCAAGCCCGAAACCCTTTCTCCATGACTGCCAAAGAGAAAGTCAGAAAAAGTATATATACCAAGCCTAACTAAAATGGCTGCACATATGTCAATTTGGGGCTTGACAACTAGGAGAACTGGCAGTCCAAGTAGATGTATAAAATGTATTTTTCTCAATTGGGGAGAATTGGGGGTGGAGTCAAGCAAGTCATCAGCCTGGAGTCGTTATGTTCCCACAAATGTTCACAAATTCCGACCGGTTCTGCAGAAGCGGTAGTGGAAATTTTGAGTAGTTTGGAAAACCGGCAAACTAGCCCCACCCCCATCTCTACTCTGCATCCTGAGTCCCAGCTGATCGGCGGGGTCTTCTTTGGTTGCCCTGAACAGGAGAACGGATCTCGAAAGCAGGTTAGTGGGGTGGGGAGGAAAGGGGGATTTTGCAGTATCCTCCCCCTGCCATGCCCAACAAGCCATGCCCACAGAACCAGTAGTGAAAAAAAAATCGAATCCTACCACTGCATAAGGTGCTGCCTTGGTGTCTCTTCCCCTTCCCTGCTGTTCTTCTCCTGCCCTTATTACTGAACCTTCATTTACATTGTGGGATATTTTTCCCCCTCTGCGATAATGAGGAGAAAAGATTCACCCATCACTATTAGCGATTCTGTCTCGGGGGAAAAGCTTGTCGGTGGAATAACAGCGGCCCAAGAACCATTCCATCTCTTGCTCCCTCCGCGGAGGGATCCCCAGAAAATGAAAAATCACCCAATTAAGTTTCTTTTCTTTTTCTAAGTCGTTCCCCCGCCCCCTCCCTCCCTCCCTCCCAAGATCAGAGACATAAATCACCAGTCTCCTTTTCCACATTCAAAAATATGGGATTCAAAAATATTTTACCACTCGTTCTGTGGGCGTGGCATGGCTTGGTGGGCGTGGCTTGGTGGGAAGGATACCGTAAAATCTCCATTCCCTCCCCACCCCACTAACCTGCTTTCCAGCTCTGTTCTCCTGGGCAGAGCAACCAAAGGAGACCCAGCCGATCAGCTGGGACTCAATGGGAGGCAGAGAAGAGATGGGGTTGGCGGGGCCAGTCAGAGGTGGGATTGGCTGGTTCTCCGAACGACTCAAAATTTCCACTACCGGTTCTCCAGAACCGGTCAGAACCGGCTGAATCCCACCTCTGTTTGCAACCTTTGAACTGTGAGCGACCGTCAAGGGCTTAGTTTTCCTTTTGTTTTCTTTTTCTTTTTTTCTTTTTGGACTTCCTTCTCCTCTCTTTCCGCCTGCTCATCTGCCTGTCGTTTCGCATGGTCGTCTCCCCGGCTGGTTGTGCGCAGTGCCCACCGCACCCCCCCAGAACGTCCAAGCGGAAGCGGTCAACTCCACCACCATCCAATTCTTCTGGAACCCACCTCCGCAACAGTTCATCAACGGAATCAACCAAGGATACAAGGTTTGGATGAGTCCATGTGCGAACGGGTTCCGCCGGAGCTCAGGAAGCAAAGAGACACCCCACAAACAGGGGTCTTTTCTTGGGTGTCAACGCAGAATTTATTTAATAATTGAATTTCTTTGCTACCCATCTCATTTCGAAGCGACTCCCAGCGGCTTACAGCCTTAAAAGCATAAAACTATGAGATAAAGGTTTCCCAAATGATTTTTAAAAATCCAGCTACAATCAAGATCAAATGATGGTTAAAAGCTGGGATAATGCTTGACTTACAGCCATGCATTTAAGCTAACATTCAGAGTTACCGTGGCATTGAAAAAACTGCCTTTCAGCCGATCCTCCCACTTATGGCGGGAGCTTTGGTGGCGCAGCGGTTTAAGTGCAGTATTGCAGGCTGAGAGTTCGATCCTGACCAGCCTTCCCGCCTTCTGAGTTCTGAGGGCAAACGAAGGGCCCAGATGTCAAACTAAATTCATACGATTCCACCCTCTCTGAGTTCATTTTATGATGCTTGCCTTACTTGGAACCTGATTGATGTCATGTTTGTGAAGTGAATCACTGCAGTTAAGTTAGTAACCTGGTTACTAACCCGGTTAAGTGAATCTGGCTTCCCCATGGACTTTGCCTGACAGAACTTCACCAAAGGGGATCATGTGACCCCGGGACCCTGCAACTGTCATAAATACATGCCAGTTGCCAAGCTTTTTAATTTTGATCACGTGACCATTGGAGGTGCTACCACGGGCATAAAGCGTAATCAACAGGTCATAAGTCACATTTTTCCGTGCCATTGTAACTTTGAAGAGTCACTTAATGAACTGTTGTAAGTCGAGGATCGGCTGCCTTCCCTGGCTTTGAACCCGAGGCTGGGTGAATAACAAGAAACTCGGTCCTGACCTGAAAGAGGAACCCAGCTGAATAAAAGACACCCCCCCCACTTTCCTCCCTCATTTTAGTTATTAGCGCTGATCTCTTTAGGAAAAAAAAGAAACTCCCAAAATGTCTACATTTTCCTATATTGTTAGGCTGTTTCCAGAAGTTGTTTTTATATTCAATTGTTGTTTAAATGGCAGTTCTCTTAGAAAACGTACAAAGTAAAATGTACACAGGTTGATATGCAATTGTCAAGAGCTACTGAAATCTTGGCTTTTAACTGTCAAGATTTTTCTTCCTCTTTTTCTTTTTTCTTTTACCTTCTCGTTTCCTTACTTTTTCATCTTTTTCTTCTTCTTTTTTTAATATCTGAAGCAGCTGACAGATCGTATTTATTTCATAGTCTGGATTTTTTTTTTAAAAATGCACTATAATAGGGAAAGTTGCAGGGAGGACGTTTCTATCATATTTTTATGTAGCACATAATTTGTATAATGATTTATAAATTGCCACATTTCATGCGTTTCCTTGCCTGACTGATGTCATTCATTGTGTGTTTTTCCTGGCAAATGCACTCAAGCTTCTCTTTATGGAAGCTTCGAAATATTCCACTCAAAAGAAATGTAAAAGCTTCTCTTTACAGAAGCATCAAAATATCCCACTCAAAAAAAATGTAAAAGCTCATTGGTGACCCATTGGTACATTTTCAATCTGTTTTATAGGTATAATTTTGCTAAACTGAGCATGTCTCTCTCTGCCATTACGAATTGGAAAATGGGGTTGCTTTGTTTTACATCTGGAAGCTTTTATTTACTTATTTGTATCCCACCTTGTTATTTTTGTAAACAACTCAAGGCAGAGTTCCTATCCTATCCTCCTGCCTCATCCTATTTTCTCCGCAACAACAACCCGGTGAGTTAGGTTGGGATGAAAGAGAAGGATTGTCCCAAAGTCACCCAGCTGGCTTTCATGCCTAAGACTGGACTAGAACTCACAGTCTCCCAGTGATTATCCCAAAGTCACCCAGCTGGCTTTCATGGCTAAGATGGGACTAAAACTCACCATCTCTTGGTGATTGGACTAGAACTCACCGTCTCCTGGTGATTGTCCTAAAGTCACCCAGCCATTTTTCACGCCTGAGGCTGGACTAGAACTCACTGTCTCCCGGTTTCTAGCCTGGGAGTTCAAGTCCACAGGCCTTAAAGTTGCCACGGCCAGACGCCCATGCCCTAATGGATCAGGCTACCTTATGCATGCTTAGCTGAGAATACCTAGCTTGCAACCTTGAGGGCATCGCATTGGGGTTACAAGCCTAGCATCGTGGTTGCGAAAGATAGCATTTCTTCAGCCAAATCCTCCGCTGCAGGGCCTCTCGGTGGCTTAGCCTTCTTGCAGACAACACAGTGAAGCCAAAACAGAACAATCACCGTTAAATCGAAGAGGGATGTGGGCAGCCCAGCTCCCATTTATTTTCCATTTTCCGTGAGTCTGCCAATGGTAGTTCATTGTATCTCGGAGCTAGCTTATTAAGTCGCATGATAGAATTCTCTTTAGAAGAGATTTTAATCCAGAGGCGAACAAGGGAGATTTTAATCCAGAAGACGGAGAAATGGAGAGCACTGTTCTTAGGAGGCAGGGTTAATATTAAAGTCAACAAGTTCAACTACCTCAACTTTGATCTAGTGTTGAAAAGGATAAATTAGATTACAGAGTCCAATGCACTACAGAATGTACGACTGCTTCACATCATGGGGCTGTTTTCTTCATATGATCACTGTTATCTCCCAGGCATCTCCTTCTCCTGGACCGTAGCGGGAACCATCCTCTTCCTTTTGTTAATCCTGCTTCTCCCCGTAACCCCTGAATGGTTTTCTTTGCTGAGGTGGACTCTTATGTTCTTGACATGCCTGTGATTTACACAATAAGGACAATTAATCAGCGGAAGGGCTCGCACTCCATCAACTGGAGGTTTTCAGAAAGGTTCTCGAGGCAGCCATTTTGTCCAGAACGGGATGGACTAGAAGGCTTCTAAGGCTCCTCTCAACTCTATTATTCCACTAGTAAGCAGAAAAGGAAATGTGTACATGGTTCTGTATGTCCTTAAAAGTAGCTTTAAGTCCTTGGGGATTGGGGTGGCGGCAGTGGTGGGATTCAAATTTTTTTACTACCGGTTCTGTGGGCGTGGCTTGGTGGGTGTGGCAGGGGAAGGATATTGTAAAATCTCCAGTCAGAGGTGGTATTTGCCAGTTCTCCAAACTACTCAAAATTTCTGCTACCGGTTCTACAGAACTAGTCAGAACCTGTTGAATACCACCTCTGGGTAGCGGGATCGCTTTCTGTATTTAGGTTCATTGCAGACTCCAAAATCTGCCCAAGATGACTCAGCTACATTAATAAGAATCTCTGAGCTAATCCAAGCTCTGCTGTCTATAGCATTGACCAGTGAATGGTAGCGCACCCTCAAAGGATGTCACCTCTCTTTGATTCCACCTTTCCTCCATCATCCAGCTCTTGGCATGGCCAGTTGATGCCCCAGACGCTAAGACCACCATCACCATTCCTCCAGATTTTCATGGAGTCCACAGAGGATACATAACCAACCTGAAGAAATTTACGGCTTACTACACCTCGATCCTTTGCTTCACCACCCCAGGCGATGGACCACCCAGCCCACCACAGCTTCTGCAGACTCACGAAGACAGTAAGTATACCCATCGTCTTTCCCAGTGTCACACAGGCATGCATCGGGTAGTCAAATCTTCCAGCCTGTTGGTCGATGCAGTTGATCCGGACCAAGAGCTCAGCCAAAAGCAATCTCTCTAGCATTTGTTTAAGGACTCCTGATTAGGGGTAGACCTCTGTTTAACTATAGGTAGTCCTTGACTTACAAACATCCGTTTAGCAACCATTCAAAGTTACAACGGCACTGGAGAAAAGGGGCGTACGACCGTCGCAGCATTCCCCTCAGTCACCTGACCCAAATTTGGGTGCTTGGCATCTATTTACAATGGTTGCATCATCCTAGGGTCATGTGACCACCATTTGCAAAGTCCACAGGGAAAATTGGATCAGTTTAACAAGCCAATGAAGTTATTTAGCTTGATAACTGCAGGGACTTGCTTCCACAACCATGGCAAAAAAAAAAGAGAGAGAGAGATTGTGAAATCAGGTGTGATTCCTTCAACAACTGCCTTGCTTAGCAGTGGAAATTCTGGTCCCAATTATCGCCGTAAGTCAAGGACTACCTCCAACGCTGACAGCTTACTCCAGAGATATTTCTCCTAAGATCCGCTCTCTGCAACCTCAAGCCCATTCAATCTACTCCTGTCCCCTGTGGCATCAGCCAACAAATGTTTGTACTCTTAAATACATAAATTTTCAGATATTTACAGAGTGAGCCTTTTAACTATCGCTTCTGCAAATTTAGAGGGACATCCAGTTCCTTCAATCTTCTTTCTTAAGCCTTTATTCCGCCCCCACCCCCACTCCCCCAATGCCACCAATGATCTTCTTAGCCAGCCTCTGAGGTCATTCTGTTTCTCCACAAGAGATACGTAGCCTGCCAATGAACAAGGTTTATAGCCTTCCTAATTAGGTGAAAACCTTTCCTCCGTTTGATTAACCTGCGGCGAAGGATCACTGCAGATCTGGAAGGGGAAAAAAAGGGAGTCTGATCTAGGGGAATTCTTCCATGTTGGAAGAGAATTGGCTGCAGGGTTATAAGCAATGTACAGCTATGCTTTCTGGGAATTGGTTTGTAAATTATTGGAGCCTTATGAATGATTGCCCTGCTTCTAAGAATTAACTATAATTAAAGTGTTGTGTTACCTACACAAGCAGACCGACAATAGACAAGTTTGTCCATCTTTTATAGTGCAGATCAGTGTTTCTCAACCTTGGCCACCTTAAAAAGTTTGGATTTCAACTCTCAGAATTCTGGCTGGGGGATTCTGGGAGTTGAAGTCCAAACTTATTGAAGTTGGTAACGTTGAGCAACAACGGTATAGATGCTATAATGGCTATTGGCGGTTAGAGAGACAAGATGTCTCAAAAACATACAGCTATTATGCATTCAGATCTCTTTCCTCCCGCCAATCTCCTGGATCTTTGGGGCTGAGTTCCATGATGGATTGCTGAACACCAGGAAGAGTCGATCTGGGCAGACAGAGCCTGATTGAGACCCCGTTTAAGGACCCATTAAGGGCAGCTCCAGAGTTCTCTTGAGATACAGACCAGATAAATGAATCACCAGGTTGAATTATTGATTCATATTAGCCAAGCAGAAGGAACCTTCAACACTTCGAAGACAACACTGAAACATCAAGAGGGCCTTTCTGAAATCTCAGGGCTTCCCTCTGGAGGATTCAAGTCGGCTGGTTATAAAAATAAAATAAAATAAATAAAAATCCAGGTTAGAGCATTTCAACCAGCAGATACCCCTGGGCATTACATACCGAGGTCTGGTCCTGTCCAATCCACGCTGAGTTATAGCAGCATTTCTCGCTGATCTCGGTATATTTCACAAGGATTTCTGCTTTGCAGCATTTGTCACACAATCGCCTTGCAGCTTGCCAACGGGAACAAGCCCATCTCGTACATATCTTATTTTATATTTGGGGTTGAGAGCGCTGGAAAATGCAGAAGTTTGGCAGGACGAATTAGAGCTGTCTGCCTGTCAACACACATGCAAGATTTGCAACCTCGATGGGCCTAAGATACAGGGATTATTCTCAGCTGTGTGCAACCATTCTAGAGTAGTAACTCATTCTTGAGCTCATTCACGAAATCTGGGGGTGCGGAGAGGATAATTAATGCCTGCCTGATCAAGGAAGCCTCCTTCGCACAACCCAATTAACAAGGTCAAGGAAGGCTCTCATTGCCGCCGTGGCCCTATGTTCCTAAACATGGCTTGTTTTGATCTCAGTTAGTTGTCTTATAGGCAGGAACAACCTCTTTGGACGAGCTTCGGATCTGTTCTATTCTGTAAACCCAGAAAAGGAAATAATCTGATAACCAAAGAAGGCTTGTTATGGCACTTAAGCTTACTCGGGTTTTCTGAAATCCAGATCGGCAAGGGTGAATGTTTGCTCTGGATTAACGTCCTCAGACATCCATCTGCTTTGAAGTCTTCAGAACTGCCTCTGACACACATTAAACCAGCAGTATTGATCCAGCATTTTTGACATTCATCTAACTAGCATCCCGCCAAGCCAGTTATTCTTAGCTGGGTTTATTTTGTTCTTTGCCACTGGTCAAAAGGTCACCTCTCCCCTTCTCTCTCTCCCTCCCTATCCCCTCTCTCTTTCAGATTCTCTTTCCCTCCCCCCACTCTCTTTCTGTCTCTCTCTCCCCCTCCTCCTTCCTTCCCTCCTTCCCCCCCTTTCCTCCTTCTCTATTTTTTATTTATTTAAAAATATATATATTTAAAAAAAAATTATATTGCTGCCTACTCACTCACGGCAACTCGAGGTGGCTTACAGGAGATAAAAACACAATATAAGAGGAATAAAAATAATAATAAAAAATTAAAATAATAACCCACCTACCCACTCCCAGCCCAGCCACAAGACTTGTGGACATCAACTCCCAGAATTCCCCAGTGGGCCTTTGCTATCTGGGGAATTCTGGGAATTGAAGTCCGTAGGTTTCAAAGTGCCCAAGGTTGGACATTCCTGATCTACAGGAAAGAAGTTGAACGATTGTTGAGTCAAAAAGCAACCAAGAGCACAATCCACCCAGCCATAATAAGATTAGACTCTGGACAACTGATTACAGCCAACCACAAGAATCCTCTTGAGGCTTCTTAACCGCTTCACTGAAAGGGAAAAAAACAACACAGATATTACAGAAACAGCAACCGTTAAAAGCTTCCATTTTTAGGACCTCAGCTCTCTTTAGGTTTGCTGGAACAGAGCCGTTTTCGTTCTTTGGATAAGCACCCTTTGATGAGGAAGAGATGCAACCATTTGTCTGAAACAGCATAAAGTCTCCTGCTTTAGCAAGGGGCTGGACTAGAAGGCCTACGAGGTCCCTTCCAACTCTGGTATTCTGAGACGCTTTTCAGTTTAACTGTGCTTTGGCCCTTCCAAATAATGGGAAAAATCCGCAGGATTTCCCCCAATCTCCTCCCTTTTCCCAAGCTCAGAGAAGACCATTCCACACTCTTATTTATAAACCTGTGCTGTCAAACCCACCCGCCAGTCCCTGCGGTGAACAGCTGGGATGAAGTGAGTAAAAGCATTCGTACCAGCGATAACCACAATCATCTTTAGCACCTCCGTGTTCCTGACAGCTCTCAGTTTGTCACTCTCGGCTCGCCCTCGCCTCTGGCTCTTTTATTTCTTCAATCCCCAAACCACTGGCCTGAATCTGATCTCAAATAAAAGAAGCTTTTCCTGTTAACAGATTTTTTTTTCTTCCCCTTTTCCGCTTGCCAGCACCAGGAACTGTGGGACACCTGAGCTTCACAGAGATTCTGGACACTTCGCTCAAGGTCAGCTGGCAAGAACCCGTTGAGAAAAACGGCCTTATTACAGGCAAGTATCAGTAAAATGCTGTTAGAAAACAGCTCGCAAAGAAAATCACGGAGGGGGCAATTGGCCTTGTGAATGCAGGAGAAAGGAAGGCTGGGGAAATTGTTCTGCTCAGAGAAACTTGTATTTGTGAAGAGCCTCTGGCTGAGAGAAAATGTTAAGATCTTGGCTTTGACTTCTCTGGTGCTGAGAAGTCCTCCAAAGAGCAGCTGGAGATATATGAGGGCTGGTTATTGCTATTTGACAATAATTGACCTCACCAAGAGCAATCACTAGTAGAAAACACATCTACACCAGCCTTGAGCTTAGTAGATACCATGTTTTGCCACCACCGCCAAAGGTACACACTTCGGTTTCTGTTTTTCTACTACCACCCCTCTGAGATTAGAGGGCTGCCTAAATTTACACCGAGGAGAGTCACAGTATGCTAAGATGTTGACTTGCTCTCCAAAGTGGAAAACACCTTATTGAGTTGCTTCTCTATTGAGCAAACATGTCCCTAAGCGTCTTTCATACTTCTACTTCTCCACTTTGTTTTGGGGTGATTCAGAACACAAAGCCCGTTAGTTGTGCCATTATCGTCAGAACGTTGTAATACGGGACTTTCCTGCCACTTAAAACCGGCAGAACCGCGCAAGGGTTTCACAGATCTTGTGCATTGGGAGTATACTCTTCTGATTCACATTATACATTTGAGCTACGGTAGGCGATGGAAGGGTTTATTAGCAAAACATTTGTTATGATGATGAATGAATCTGAAATTCAAGGACAGAAAAAGAAGACCGTCCATCATTCTAGGAAAAATAATTTATGTTGCATAGACAACTGTTCATTCCTCCTCCAGCATATCCAGTTAAAGACAATGAAATAGAACCGAAGGAGCTCGGTGTCCAGAATTTAGCCTCCTGCCCTTCCACGGAAACCCAAGCGAAAATTTTCAACTGTGGTTTTCAGGAGTTTTAAAGAGAGCAGACGGTGTAAGGTGATTTGGGGCTCCGGGTGAAGACTTTTAGACCTTGGAGTGGGAGCGATTTACCTCCTGAAGTTCTTCTGTTCTCCTTTCGTCTTAATTCCCACTCGGTCCATTACCTGGTTCCAAATCACCAGAGGGGAGGGGATGTTTATGGGTGGAAAAGGGAAAAGAGCTTGGAGAAACCCTCTCATTCCCATACTTAATTTTGAGAAACACAAAATAATACTATGAGATTTGGCCAACTGGTTTGATCTCATGGTCCTGGGGGGCCGCAAGTGAGGGAGCTGGGGTATATCACCCATGGATGTGACCCTTTGGTCAGCAGAAGAGGAGAAGAAACTCATTGAACCACTCCCCACCCCCCCAGGTCATTCAATAAGAAATCCTACAATGGCTTAGACGTTCCGTAACTGAGGTAGTATGGGGGAAATCTCCAGCTAGACTGGAGGGAGGGATTAAGAGAGTCCTTAGTTTAGAGTCGTTACACTACCGTAAATGACACGGGCCATACCTCTACGAGAATACCATGATCCCTTTTTATTTCTGATATAATGTTGGTCTAAAGATGTACCAGGCAAGCTTTATGAGAGCAAATCATTGGATCACCTTCAGGAAGGATCCATGCCTGCGAAGGATGAGGTGGCTTGGATCATGTTGCTCAGAATTCCTAGGAAATTCCTCCTTCGTCACTTTGCTGCGAAGGTGTCATTTACGGTGACTTTGTCTTTAAATCTAACCCATGGAATAAGAGGAAAATTACAGGGGCACCAGAGGGAACAAGCCCGTTTTTGGTAAATTGCCCATTGTAAATTTCAGTGTCTTCCTCGTTCCCTCGATAAATTCTGATTTATGAGGGCCTGGATGCAGGCAGACAGTTTCTGATTGGATGTACAGCTCTCTCATCCAGAATTTAGTCCAGATCAACAGAAAATTATTTCTGAAGCTCCCGAGGTCATCCGTTTCAGTTACACCACCGCTTACTAAGAAGCTACTAAGCCCAGTGCATAAAGGAAAGCTTCTTCGGTGCTTGCTCTTGAGTCGAACCTGTTCTTCTCCATCTCTTCGGTACTTTTGGCCATTCATCGGTCACATTCAATTTTATTTTATTTTCAACAGAAGGAAAATATCATTAATTTGCCTTTCCGGGTTCTTTTTATCTGCCTCATTCACTGGGCACTGAGACTTCTTCCGCGAGCTTAGTTCTGCGTGTTAGTTCGTGCTTCCTTTTCCCAGCTTCAAAGCTTCCTCCTGCTGATGCTATTGTTGTAGTATCAACAAGCAATCTACCTGCTTGACCACACAGTGCCAGGGCACTTTGACGTGGTCACATGATGCTTAGATGAGTGCTGAAGAACCTCTTGGCCCTGAGAGGGATTCACACCTACTTAGGAAGGTGAAAGGCCTATCTTCATAGGTCCCGTGAAAAGAAGCCCATGAACTCCACCCCATCTCACCTCTCTTATTTATCATGAGCCAGTTCTTGTTCAGGGAGACCCTTTGTTGCAAATAATTGGCTGAACCCAGTCAGCAGGTCGAAGAAATTAAAAGCATCACTCATTCTAATTAGAGGAAGATTTTGGCGGCCACCCTTTGCATGATGATTTTGGTAGCTTGGGGATCTCCGCCTGGTCTTGTTTCTCCCTTTGCAATCCATTTTTTTGCATATTTTTTGAGCCCTTCGGTCAAATTCTCCACCATTTGCTTCCCTCATCCTCTGAGATCTACTACATCTCCCCAAATATCCTTTCCTTGTGGGGGGAAAAAAAATAATCACCCCCAACCTCTTGATGCTCTTTCGCCTGTGCTCTTCCCCACCTCACTTCCAGACGACCTGCCTCGTCTTGCCCCAGGCCTAATCACCAAGGAAGATGCAATCAAGCCTGTATTTTCCCTCCACCCCGGACACTCCAGGGGCACGATCACCAGCGAGGTTCATAAAAGAGCTCCAGGGCGAATGAAGTTGTTGCGGAAGGTTCAGAGGCAGGGAGAGAAGAGAACAAGTAAAATCAGAAGCAGAATTGAGAAAATATAAATCAGGACCGCGTGGAAGTTGATGGAAGCATGGAGAAAGAAAGGGAGAAAAGCGTGAATAGCTTGCCCCAGAAATCCACAATAGGTAAGCGGGGTGCAGGGTTAGGTCTTCGGCACATCAGGATAATGGCTTTGCTTGACAGGGCTAGAAATGACAAGATCAAATGATTTGCCAGGCACGCAGTGTCTACGCGAGGGCAGCGGCACAGAACAAAGGCATTTCCCACTCTTTCTGACTTTGCAATGCGTTACCCTGGGCCAATTAGCATCTCATTTGCTTCCTTTGGTTCTCGTCCAAGAGAACATTTCTCTCTCTGTCTTGCATCTGTACTTCCCTGTCGGGCCCAACCCCCCAGACGAGACAGTGAGATCCAATGGAGCTCCATCCTTTATTGGAGTATACCACCCTACACGAAGATCCATCGAGGGCAGCTAATCAGCCTCTCCAACCTACCTCAGTGGAAGCAGATCAAGAGAAAGCGATTCCCAGTGCTTCATTCCTGTTTAAAGGAAAGTCATCAATGGATTATAAACTGTAGAGGCACACACTGCAGGTTCGAACAGCAATCCTCTGCAAATGTCCTGAGTGTAGGTTGGACACTCAACCCTTCTGGGATGGACATTGGCCCTTTGGTAGACTGACATCACTGGTGGTTTTCAGTAAAAGACTGGACAACCAGTTGTCCAGGGTGGATTAAGGTCTCCTGCTTTGAGCAGGGGGGTGGACTAGAAGAGCTCCAAGATCCCTTCCATTTTATAATTCTATGATAGAATAGAATTTGGCAAAAGGAATGTCTTTTTTAAAGAAAAGAAAAGAAACTGTCCTCGCTTGATCCTGTCCTCATGTTTAGGTCTTCTGTTTATATCTGTCCTATGAACATCTCTTGGAGAATGAAAACATTTAACTGATAAACTGAGGTGCATTTCATAAATAAAATAGGGCACAATTTAAGAAGTGGGCCCTTAAATCAGTTCTGAAGGGAAATGAAGGAAAATCGGAGCCATTCCGTAATTTTAAAAAAGAGAGAGATTTTTTTTGTTGTTGTTAGTGGTGGTCAGGCTTAAATCTGGAAAACGAAGATGGTTACACTCTGAAGTTAGAGAGAAATGTGTGTGTAAGGTTTTGAACTTGTCGTTAGGGGAGACACGGATAAAAAGAGACTTTTCTTGATGCCAAGAGGGCCATCGAAGGGGTGACGTTCAAGAGGCGAAGCCACATGTCGGTAGTTGTAAGGCTACAAATACCGTTGAGATAGATGGCTTCCCTGTTTTTGGGAAGCTCCTCAAGGTTAGCAGATCCAAGAACCTGGCAGAAGACTGGCTTCTGATAGCTGGCTTCTCATTACTGAGCAGATTTTCCTTAAATGGAAGCATTTTCCTCCTCCACTGAAGTAGGGAAAACCCCAGGAGCTCCTTGCTCAGTTCTGGGAGGTGTCCTTTAACCGAGTTCCACTGGCAGATCCTTTAGAAGATGCTTCTGATAGTATCAGCTTGGTTTCATTGCCTCCTCCTTTTTTTCCCCCCTCCAGGCTATCAAATCTCCTGGGAGGTCTACAGCAGGAATGAATCTCGCCTGGCTTGGACTCTGGCTAACACAACCCTGGAGTACAAAATCACAGGCTTATCATCTCTCACCACCTACACCATTGAAGTAGCAGCTCTGACAGCCAAGGGACCTGGCTTGGTCACTTCATCAACCATCTCATCTGGAGTTCCCCCAGGTTAGTCAAAGAAGCATTTGGACAGGCTCAAGAAATGCCAGGGCTGCATTTCATGGAACTTCATGCCCAGGAACACAAGAATTACTTGGAAAAATTAAAATAAAATAAAATAGGATGTAGACATTTCGTGAGAACAATTAACCAGTGGAACTGCTTCCCTCCAGAAGCTGTGGATGCTGCATCACTGGAGGTTTTAAAGAAGAGACTGGACAGCCGCTTGTCTGGAATGGTATAGGGCAGGGGTCTTCCAACTGGACAGCTTTAAGACTTGTGGACTTCAACTCCCAGAATTCCTCCTCTAGTCATGTTAGCTCAGGAATTCTGGGAGTTGAAGTCCACCAGTCTTAAACTTGCCAAGTTGGAAGACTCTTGGTCTAGGGTTTCTTGCTGGGTTAGACCAGAAGATCTTCAAGGTTCCTTGCAATCCTGTTCTTCTATATTCTCTACTAATCCTTAGCCGCTTGAAGATGTGTGGACTTCAACTCCCAGAATTCCCCATCCAGCATGGCATTCTGGGAGTTGAAGTCCACCCATTTTCAAGTGGCCATGGTTGGGAAGCAATGCTGACATGTAGGAGCTGATGGTCCCAACGTGTTTTTAAAAATGGGGCTTTCTCAAGGCTAATGGGAGCCTCTTTTCCACTGACTTTAAAAGAGGGTTTTAGAGAAAGCAGCTAATTCTGGTGCTTTGCTGGCATCCACACCCGTAGAAATGTCAACAGGGACAAAAGGCCAGGAATCTTAACCAGCTAGAAAAGGAGAGAGAGAAAAGGAGATGGACAAATCTGTCTCATTTCTCTCTTTTTCTGCCACATCCAAAAGGATGAAAGACCACCCAGCTTCAGCTTCCTACTAAATTTGATGCTTCATCCTGCCAAACATCTTTTGAGCCTTATTCATTGTGTACACGAAGAGCAGGACTACAACGTCGTGGATTAATTATTTAGCATGTCTTTTGAAATTACGCTTTAAGTGGGTCAATTTGGGGGCAATTCAACCCCCCATTAAGGGTCACTTATGTTGAGAGGGCAGCTTGCTAAGATATGAAAGGCTTTCCAATACCCACAGGACATCATTTTTAATTCCAAAATCAATACTTGTGCAGCTGTCTAATTGAGAGTCCTCATGCTGGATGGGAGGCCTAGCAATCTCCCTAGAGCAGAGGTCTCCAAACTTGGCAACTTTTAAGACTTGTGGACTTCAATGCCCAGAATTCCTCAGCTAGCTGAAGTCCACAAGTCTTAAAATTACCAAGTTTGGAGATCCATGCCCCAGAGGCAAGTGATGTATCATTCTTTTGGAGAAAGGGTTCTGACCAAGGCTTCCAAGACCATAATTAAGCACACGCTTAGTTAAAACAACTCTTGTTTTATTTCAATGCTGGGAATTATGTTCATTCCCAGTCCGTAATGACTCCCAAACAATCCCTCGAGATAAGCACCCACCTTTCTCTCCCTTGAATGGCTGCCAACAACTAAAGTGCCAAATTAACTGAAAAAAAAAAAACCAACCGAAGTACAAAGTCCAGACAAAGCTTCAAGGACTAATCTGAACAGAATGAACGACTTTGCTTCCTGCAAAGGTTTTGCCACCTTTGCCTGTCCTTTATCTTAGGGGAAGGGGCAATCGCCTACCAGCCTTACTCCCAAGTTGCCCCTTTTGTCTCAGCTGCTCTTGCCTTCTAGCAGCTCTGTGCATACATGCACTGGGAACAGGCTCCCCTTGTTCCTCTGCCTCGCTGCTACCAGACTCCAGAGGCTCCGAAGGCAGCACCCCACTCTCAGATGGTCCTGGCCTCGTCTCTGCATCGGATGCAGGAGGACCCTCATCCGAGTCTTCTCCAGACTCCCAGACTGATCCCCATTCTTCCCCACTTTCCGATACGGCTGCCATCTGCACAGGCTGCTGGTGAAGCACAACAGAAAGGATGTGGGGCTGGATGGATTCTCCGGGCTCTGTTTATACCCTGGAATTCAATTCTGTCTTGTAAAGTGAAGTCCCAATACTGAGCCATGGGTTTATTTTTCTGCTCCGAGCTCTTGACCTTTTCTTCTTTTTTATTCTGCCTGCTGGCTTCTGCAGAACTTCCTGGTGCACCTTCCAATTTGGTCATCTCAAACATCAGCCCTCGATCGGCAACCCTTCAGTTCCGGCCTGGATATGATGGCAAGACCTCTGTCTCTAAATGGATAGTGGAGGGCCAGGTATGCCAAAAAAACAACAACACAACAACCCTAATGTGTCCGTTTGTAACCATCCTAAACAGCTCAGCGGTTCAAAATAATCTGTAAATTGGCTTCATTTGCAAAGTAGAGAAGCACATTTGCGCCCAGATTCCTAGAAAAAGAAAAAAACGGGGGTCAAATTCTTTCTCTCGGTCTATGGATATTCTTTTAATCCACGGCTGCTTCTTTCACACGTGCATTGTGGGAGGGCCAAAGCATCCCATCTACACATGATGCTTTCATTCAAATTAAAAATGATTTGATGCAAACAGTTTCCCTTTTGGGAAGGAGATTTCACAAGGGATGTGTTGCTTCGAAATGTTTACAATTTCATATACATTTTGGGGGGTTGGTTTTTCTTTTTAATTTGCCGTATTGACTTTGGGATTTATAACATAACACATGATAGCAGCCTTCCAATATTTGAGGGGCTGCCACAGAGAGGAGGAGGGGGTCAAGCTATTTTCTAAAGCACCTGTAAGCCAGACAAGGAATAATGGATGGAACCTGAACAAGGAGAGATTTAGCCTGGAAATAAGGAGAAACTTTCTGACAGTGAGAACAATCAACCTATGGGACAGAACTTGTGGGAGCGCCATCACTTGAGACCTTCAAGAAGAGATTGGACTGCCACCTGTCAGAAATGGTGTAGGGTCTGCTGCTTGGGTGGGGGGTTGGACTAGATGACCTACTAAGTCCCTTCCAACTCTGATTATCTGTCATCTGTTATTTGATGTATGCCACCTTGGGATTACGTGAGTTTCGTGGCCATATTCATCTCCCAAAGAAATAGATTAATGACATGAATGAATCTTTTGTCGAAGAAGCATTCTTTGATCTTGTCTGGACCAGTTATTTCATTTTCTTTAGCTACCACTTCCCTCTTGCCGTAGAGTGCCACTTCTCTATGATAATGCTCACCGAGTACACATTTCTGCTCTAAACTCAAGATATTAACGGTTGCCTATTATGATGCGGGACACAGATACTCACAGTTTCTCCATGATTGTTGTGGAGGCCATTCTCAAGAGAGAATGCAGTCGAAACATACCCTATCTAGCTAAAATGGGTTGCAAAGATATATATTTATAACCGACGTATTTGGGGTTTTATGAAGCTTACCCAACTGCTCCATGCTTCACATTTTTTATTAGTTTAATAATGTTTGAGGCCGGTGTTTTTGGAATTTTAGTGTATAATACATTTATTCCAACCGGAATAAATGCCACCAGTTCAAGCCGGTTTCTTTTTCATCCTTTGAAGCCACTCTGGACTCATAGTTGTCTATTGCCTCTTTTTTTTTTTAATGGCACCCCACCAGTATATATATATATATATATTTATTCTGCTCGTATATGCCTGCCAGCAGTTGGTTAACACTTCACATATCTCTGTGTAGCCCATAAAAGCTCATGTCAGAAGGAGGTCAGCCCATGCCCTGCAGATGTTTTGCATGGCGAGGCCCTTTTAACCTTAGGTGTGCTGGTAGGATCACAGATAAAATGGCCGGCTCTTCAATGGAGCCCAAGGTCCTTTGCTCCTTTGCCTCTTTCATGTCAGCTTTCATTGTGGAAAAGAAAGTTCTCCCCTCTGAGTTCGCAAGGGTGGCAGGGCAAGGAAAGGAAAGAGGATGCCTCAAGTGTCAGTTCCGCTTGTCCTTTTACGCCCCTCTTTCTTTCCAAATTTACTTTTCTCTTTTTGGCTCCGTTTAAGTTGCTTTTCAGAAGGGCATGGAACAGTGGTGGGATTCAAATGTTTTTTTTAACTACCAGTTCTGTGGACGTGGTGTTGGTGGGCGTGGCAGGGGAAGGATATACTGCAAAATCCCCCTTCCCTCCCCACCCCACTAACCTGCTTTCCAGCTCCGTTCTCCTGTGCAGGGCAACCAAAGGAGACCCAGCCAATCA